TGAGTTTGGAATAATTTGATTTGGTTAAATGTATATTGCAGGTTGCGGGGTGTGCGATAGACTTATCTCCACGTGGTGCACCCTGGGCAACGTAAACTCATACGGCAAAAAAAGTCTTTTAACCGGCAGTTAACTTCTCACTTCAAACTACCATCACCCCACTGTATGTCATATTCGACTACTTCCATACTACTCACTTCACCTTTTTTCTACCTTTGTGTCTGTCTCTTTACATCTTTGAAACATTTTTCTGCCTCCCCCAATCTCGAATTTTTTTCACTTTGACGTTCCCTCCCCATGGGGTGTGCTATAGACTCACCTCCACGTGGTGCACACTGGGCAACGTATACTCATACGGCAAAAAAGTCTATTGATCGGCAGTTGACTTCTGACTTCAAACTACCATGACCCTACTGTATGTCATATTCGATCACTTCCACCATACTTACCATACCTTTTCTCTACCTTTGTGTCTGTCTGTCTTTTTTACATCTTGAAACACTCTTCTGTTCACCACCACTTGACTTTTTTCGATTTGATGTTCCTCTTCCTCTGTGAAACCTGAAGTCAACTAAAGGGCTAATGATGACTCTCAAAACACCTACCATTTGGAATAAATAGAAATACTAAATCATAATTCAGATATGAGAGCTATTATCTTCCCCCTTTCTCTCTTGCTCTCTTTCCATACCAGCAACTTCTCCTCTACCCTCTGTCGATTCATTCCCTCTCGTCTTTCTGACGCCACTTCCACGGTTGAATGCTTTCTAAGGATTATAGCTTGCAAATACTTTCATATTATCGTTAATAATAATTCTATTGACATTTGTATTGAGCAATTCTTTTTTGTCATGGATGATCTACTTGAGAGTTCAGAGTTCGTTGAAAATGTGGAGGGATTGAAGATAGTTCTCATGATGACAGAATGGGTTGATAAGTGTCAACCGAGATGTAGTGTCATAGAGTCCAAATTCCAATTGTGAGTGCTATTCAGTAATCCCCAAAACTGTTTTGTGACAGTTTAATAAATGAAATTATTTGGTGATTCGAGGGCACTTCTCGATGTATTTTTTGGAAATACTTTAACACTTAATCGAATTGGCATAAACAGAGCGTAAATGATTAACTTTGTAGCAGAAGATATAGCGGTTCTTGTGCCAGAGTGAATTTGAAATTACGCACAGTGGTATGCTGTATTGATTAGTATTTACTTCAAATGACAGGCGTTTTGAGAGTTATCACTAGTCCTTTAGCTGACTTCGAGTTTCACAGAGAGGAGGAGGAACATCAGAGTGACAAAAAGTCGAAAGGGGGGACAGTTATAGAAGAGACAGACAGACACAAAGGCGGAGAAAAAGTAAAACAAGTAAGCAAGTGGAAGGGGGTCAAATATGACATGCAGTCAGGCTATGGTAGTTTTAAGTCAGAAGTCAACTGCCGGTTTATAGACTTTTTGCCGTATGAGTATACGTTGCCCAGAGTGCACCACGGACTCTTTTGCCGTGTATACGTTGCCCAGGGTGCACCAGTTTGTTTGCCGTATGAGTATACGTTGCCCAGGGTGCACCACGTGATAGACTTACTTGCCGTATGAGTACACGTTGCCCAGGGTGCACCACGTGGTGCCTTATGAGTATACGTTGCCCAGGGTGCACCACGTGGAGCCGTATGAGTAAACGTTGCCCAGGGTGCACCACGTGGAGCCGTATGAGTATACGTTGCCCAGAGTGCACCACGTGGAGGCAAGTCTATCGCACACCCCAATTGACTACTATGAGTGTCTTTAGACATTTCAACTTCACTGCGGCGTACACAATCCTAGCTCTATTAACCTGCGTGCATGAGTATTTTGGAACGAGGGGGGGGGGGGGGGGGGGGGGGGGGGGGGGGNGGGGGGCAGGGGGTTCGGCCGTGCGTACGGAGGACTTCTCAGCTATTCAGCTTTCAATGTTTTGTTCAAACTATGATGAATGTATTCAATTGCTGATCACGTTCGCTTTGTTCATAACATGGCTAAGTGCTATGCGCCATTGAGATGGCTTAACTCATTTCGAGAGCCTATCAATAATTGGATACATTGCCATAGAAATTACTAAGAGTAAGTACAGACTTATTCGTATAACAGTTCACACACATATTTCGAAAAAAATTGTGGGACTGAAGTTGCTCCATTACTCCATTTATTGATGATATCAAAAAAAACGTGACCTAATCTCAAACTGCTAAATAAGTTGGCAGAACAATGCAATTCTACATTTTCAATAAGGGGTGTGTGATAGATATACTTCCACGTGGTGCACCCTGGGCAACGTATACTCATACGGCAAAAAAGTCTTTCAATTAGCAGTTGACTTCTCACTTCAAACTACCATTACCCCACTGACTATGTCATAATCGATCCACTTCACAGTACTCACCTCACCTTTTTTCTACCTTCGTCTTTGAAACACTCTTCTGTCCACTCCCCCCCCCCCCACCTCTGGACTTCTTTCACCTTGATGTTCCTTCCCTCTGTAAAGCCTGGAGTCAAAACCCCTGCCATTTGATATAAAAATTTTGAATAAAAACTGTCTCTATAAAATTACCGATTTTTTGTAACTCATGTCTCGTTCATCTGATCTGAGTATGGTTGTTTATCGCTCTTAGGATTCAGATTTAGGGGTTCTTAAACGAGATTTTTGAAGGCTTTGACTCTGCGGTGTCGACACTGTTCGATTGGCCATACCGTCAATATGACAAGAGAATAAGAAATGGCAAAAACCGGAGTGCGGTGAGAGGAGTTTATTGAAGAGAGCCAAGAACTACCAAAGGGTGACCAAATGGCGATCAAGTATTACCTATGATAGAACAGGTTTTTAGTGAGCAATTACGTTGGTGTGAATGCGTGAGGCCTTGGTAACAGCCATTTTCCCACAACACTCTTTGAATTGTGGACCTGAATCGATCAGGGTGTCTGTGCGTGTCCAAGCAAAGGTGACAGTGGAATGCGTTTAAGGAATACATGTCATATATTTAGGACATAGAGTGTGAACTTCTTGACTTGGAATCACATCACGGGGTCTTTTTCACAGTCCAGTTGTTTGCACGATTAGCCATGACGCACGTCGTGAAATAGAGGGGGGGGGGGGGGGGGTGAAGGTTTATGTAAGATTTATGTGATTTCTACTGATAGAATAATATTAAAGATGACCTCGATCGATAGTGATGCTAACTTGAGTAGAGGGTTTGTAATGCTCAATTTGTTAATATCCGAGGAAGCTTGTATCGAACAAGTAATTGATTATTTCAAAAAGACATTCTCTCCGGCTATATCCAATGTGGAGAGTCCTATAAGGGCGCTTTATTTAATCTAGAAGGTCTTGATACACTCTGTTCATCTGTTCAAGAACCACCTGTAGTTATATTTGCCTTAGATGGGGTGTGCGATAGACTTACCTCCACGTGATGCACCCTGGGCAACGTATACTCATACGGCAAAAAAGTCTTTTAATCGGCAGTTGACTTCTGGCTTCAAACTACCATGACTCCACTCTATGACATATTCGACCTCTTCTTCAGCGCTCATCTTACCTTTTCTCTACCTTCGTCTTTGAAACACTCTTCTGTCCCCCTCCCCCTCTCGACTTTCCTTCATTTTGATGTTCCTTCCCCTCTGTGAAGCCTGAAGTCAAGTAAAGGGCTAATGATAACCGTCAAAACGCCTGCCATTTGATATAAATAAATATTTGGCCTAAATTATCTCGAACAGAAAAGTGAAGCGAACATGGGTAAATTTGTTTTCTGAAGTGAAACAGGCTATTTGACAAAAATCTCAAATGCCCTCTCTCTGGGAAGCCTCTACTACGACCAAATGAAGGCTAATTTGGGGAGGGGGTGAGTTTGGGGGGGGGGAATTCGGCCTTTTGCTTTTCATAGGATAAGGGTAAAAAATTTGGAGTGGGGGGAGGTGGGGGGGGGGGGGGGTTGGCGAATCTAAAGAACAAATGTCTGGTGGAAAATTAACATTTATCTCTCCTCTTGGCACCTACTTTTTTTAAAAATGCGAGTTTCAAAATCAAGGCCAATGCAATATTTATGCAAATTAATTTCATAAAACGCCACAGTAAGCTCATTGCCTGCATTCAAATAAGAGCATTAGTCTGTTTATCCTCTATCAATGTGATTGACAATGTGTCGTTACTTTAGTAGCCAAGGTAGAAAAGCACAACTCGGTCAAGTAATTTACTATTAGTATTGTTACCACAGCCAAAGCAAAACTATTTGCCATTGTCAATCGGTTGAAAGCGTCTGAAAGGTACGATTGAAAGAAGATTATCAGATTGTGTTCAATAGTGGGTTCTAAGGTCTCTACGACAAGGCCTACCGTTTCGTAGTTCAAATTTCCTAATATAAATCATGTTACCCAGAGTGAGTTCATGTCAAGGATGAACAATTTGTCAAATCGATTGGCTGATTATGTCACCTGCATAAATTTGATACCTCATGACAACAATAAACTTATTTGTGATTGGGTTAGAGCCAAATTTCTCACTTTATTTATTAAAGCTGAGCATTCGGGTACAGCCAATGAAAGAGAATTTCTTGGTGGTCCCAAATCTATGTTGTTTGTATTATTCCTTCAGGACTATAAATAGCTACACCCACGGCATTGGAAACATGTAAGCACCTATAGATTGCTCATTTGAAGTGGGTGGTGAACCCATCGCCATAATTCTTAGACATGTCTTTTTTGAATACTCAGTGATAGGAGTCTTCTTGAGAAGAAACACGATCTAACCTGTAATATTGAAAATAATAATTTTTATCATCGTAGTGGAAATATTGAATAAGGGATCTCGTCTCGAGTAATTGACAGCTATTTCTCTGTGCCAGGAGTCATCGTTGACATTGACTTGCAACTTTTTGTAGAAGCCCTAGCTCATAAGCAGCGAAAATTGAAATAATATACACGATACATAGTCGATTGGCCAAGAATCGAAGCCGTTGCTGAGTTTAGACTATTACGGACGGATTGCCTGGCAAAACACCTTCAAAGATTGGGAGTATACACTGGCCTCACAAATTGGGATTATACACTCAACCCACATGCCCTCCATGTAACGTGGGAGTATACACTCAACCCACATGCCCCCTATGTAACCTAAGGAGGAAATGGAGAAGACCCACCTGATTCGGTGTCTAGCGGAGGAAATGGTGATGACCCACCTGATTCGGTGTCCAGCTCTAAAGACAACGGGAGATCAACCCACATGCCCTCTATGTAACCTACAGGAGGAAATCTGGCGAAGCACCTTCACAGATTAGGAGTATACAATCAAAACACCTTCACAGATTGAGAGTATACACTCAACCCACATACTCTATGTAACCTACAGGAGGAAATGGAGAAGTCCCACCTGTCTATGTGACCTACAGGAGGAAACGGAGAAGACCCACCATATGTAACCTACATGAGGAAATGGAGAAGACCCATCTGATCTGTAACCTACAGGAGGAAATGGAGAAGACCCACCTGATGTGAAACCTACAGGAGGAAATGGAGAAGACCCATCTGATTCTCTACAGGAGAAAATGGAGAAGACCCACCTGATTCGGTGTTCAAAGGAGGAAATGGAGAAGACCCACCTGATTCGGTGTCTAGCGGAGGAAATGGTGATGACCCACCTGATTCGGTGTCCAGCTCTAAAGACAACGCAGACCCACCTGATTCGGTGTCCAGCTCTAAAGACAAGGACATGGAGTCTGATTGTGAAACCTACAGGAGGAAATGGAGAAGACCCATCTGATTCTCTACAGGAGAAAATGGAGAAGACCCACCTGATTCGGTGTTCACCAGAGGAGGAAATGGAGAAGACCCACCTGATTCGGTGTCCATCTCTAAAGATACTGGGATGCAAGAAGACAGCTCATGAACTGCTATTATTTAACTGCTATATATGTACCCCCCCCCACTCATGGGGAAAGCTGAAG